GTGGCGTGAAGTCCCTTGGAGAAGGGCAACGTATCATCCGTCAGTTCGGAAGAGTCCAAGGCTCGCGGTTTTATCTTTTATCTTTTGTTTTTTTTCCTTCTTGTTGTTCATACTCGTCATCTTCATTCTCTCCCTACTTCCACCAAATCGGCCATAGCTCCACCACCACCTAGCCAAGCCATAGCCGCCGGCCTCCCATTAGCCTCTAACCGCCGACCTCCCCTTACAAACTCCCCCCATGAATTTTGAATTTCAAAATTCAAACCTACCTTTTATTACCTTCCTAAAATAGCTCATATCAATTTGGAAAGTATCTTTATTTGAAATCAATTCTTTATTTGAATTTCAAAGGCTTTCCTTTTTGATAATCCTTAATTAGAAAACCTCCCAACTACATTAAATCTGAAATTAAGTTCAGATTTAATTTCAATCCCGAAATTAATGCATATGGCCCACATACATTGAACCTAGACACCCATGTCCACTCCCCATATGGCCGGCCCTCCTCTCTCCTATCTTCTCCCTCCAAAATTCAAATCACACATTGAATCCTTTCCATAAGTGTCCACTCTTAAATTGGGAAGATTTAATTTTCAAATTTCAAAGCAATTTGAATTTATAAATTTCTTTCCTAATTTAATGAAACCTATTTTAGGAAAGTTCTTGAATTAAGTTCAATTTGAATTTGAAATTCAAAAGGATTTAATTAAAACCTTTCCTATTCCCAATACCCAAATTAAGAAGCTATCAATCCACCTCATCAATCCTCCCCATGCTTGATTGCCGCCGGCCCCTCTAGGGTGGGATTAGGACATTGTTTCCTAAATCCCAAAATCTCCGCTTAGGAAACAATTCAAACCTCATTAATTTGGCCACAAAATCAGCCCCGTCAAGTGGAAATAATACCAAATCCTAGCCTTACCTGACCGCCTCCTACCCAGCAGCTTTGCTAGGATTATCTTCTCCCAATCCCTCCTACTCTTCACCCGGTTTGGTGTTTCCTGCACCCCAAGTTTGCTGCCAGAATTTTGCTGCTGTCTATGAAGTTCCAGTCCAGATTTTGATATCCAGAAAATTTCATCCAAGGTTCTTGCTGGACAGAAATTTTCCAACCAGGACCTTTGCTGTTCCAGCCCTCCTAACGCTAGGAGACTGCTGTCCTGCAAAGTCAGAGTCGCCCTCTTGCTGTCCAACGTCCTCAGAAGCCACCGTTGCCATCCAGAACTTTCTGAAATTGCTGTCCCAGATTTTCTATTTGCTGTCCAAAGGTTCGAGAACGAAATGTGTTGTTATCCAGACGCCCAAGGAGCCACCAATCGATGTCTACTTCCTCTCAAGCCCTCAAACCACCACATGAACCTTGGATAACTTCTTTCTTCGGGTGGCTGCCATCAATTCCGTTCTACATCACCTAGACTCTACTGAGAGAGTTTTGAGTGTGTTCTGGATGAAATATTCAGAAGGCAGTTTTTATTTCAAATAAGACATTGCTAAGATATTTCGTTTCTTATTTATTGTGGATTTCATGATCTGTAACTAGGTTTCTTATTGGCGTAAGACCTTAGGATTAATCACCTTTTATGATGACGAGAGAGAATTTTCGATTAAAGCTAGCCGTTAGATAAATACCAAGTGATAGGTGTATAGTGGGAACAAATTTGGTAGAGGGTTTAAAATATACCACCTTACACTTAAATTTGATGGCAGGGAAATGATGACGAATTTGATTAAGATTTCATGGTTCCATTACTCTTGATTATCATGGTCCCCAATCTACTTAGTTAGAGAAGGTTGTAGACCCAACATGATTGATTGATCCTTATTGATAATCATTAGCTTTGTCCAAGTGAATCTTATAGACTTGGGGTGGATATTTGTCTAAATGAATATACTTAAGTTGATTTTAGCTAATAGAGGATTTTGTGGCCATCAGGTGCATCTAATGAGTCATTACTCGAGGGTTTTAAGTCATTGAGGAACTTGTGGGCTTCGGTTGTAACTGCAATTTAATATTGCTATTTTTGCGGTAAAACCATCTGATCAGAGGGCTTCGATCATAATGATTTACATATGGTGTCATTTGACGCCAAAGCCACCAGTTCAAGGACATCTGCCACATCCTTGTTGATGAGAGATTATTTGATAAATAATCATATTTATACGCTTAACAAGGTTTTAATTTTTGTGAGCTGAGGTTATTCTTAAATTTATCACTTTCAACAAATGGTTGCGGAGGGTGAATGTATTTTATTTTATGTTTAGAGTGGTAGATTTTTCTTGAGAAATTTATATCTTGATAAATGCTAGATTTTTTAATTTTTATTGGAATTTAAGACCCTAGTGATTAACTATAGAATTTATGGGTATTTTTTTAAAAATCATGGAGGCCCCTCATGTTGATATTTTTTCAGTCAATGCAATCTTTCTTCTTCTTTTCATTCCTTCCTTTCTTCTTTTATGTTATTTTTCTCAGCTGTTATACTACCTGTCGTTACAGTAGCTTTGTTACATTACCCAACCTGTCATTATGGTACCTGAGCTCCTCCTTGCAGCCTGTTGCTGCTCATGCCTCTTCTTGTTTCTCGGGTCAGGAAAAATCAGCAAGATTTTACTATACTTATCTATGCTTTTATATAACTTAATTTAATTAAACAATTCAATTCCACCACCAAAGCTCTTAGCTACCTCAGCCCCCTCATTGCCTTGCAGGTTCTTAAAAAATAACGAGTACTGCTACCATGGATTAATTTACTGCCATGGTAAATCGCAAAAAACTCTAGGAAGTTGATTAAATTGCTAAGTCTTTACATAATCGATAATAGGTACAATATTTATATATGCATCTATATATCTGAATGATTGAAATGGAGTATAGAATTTAATAAACATAATTTCGACGGATTTTAAGATGTGCGAAAAGTGATTTATGATTTTCGGAGAAATTTTCATCTTATCTTTTTGAAAATTTGGGTATTACAACACCATGCTAGTAAATGTTAGAATATTTGTGACAATATAGGAAGAGTTGGTCGTGTTTATGATGTACAAAAATATCACAACAACAACAACAAGCCTTTGTCGCACTATGTGGGGTCGGTTACATGAATCCTTTTTCACCATTGTATCGGGTTAAAAGTCATCAACACACTAGTGATGTTAGATTTTTTTTATGGAATTTATAAAAAAATGAAAATATCATGGGGTCTGTCTTGTTGAAACAATTCCACTATGTATGTTAGGAATTATAATTATATATCCTTGTGACCCTCTTCTATTAGAGGAGGTGGGATTACAAGGCTTGATTGTAGAATTTGTTTCCAATGATAGGTGGTGAAGTATGTTAAAAAAATGATTGTGTTGACGAGTGGATTGTGGACAAAGACAAATGCTGGCATCAATCGACGACAACGATCAATGCTAACATCGGTTAATGATGGTGACATATTCTAGTTTTATTGAAGTTGCGACATTTTAATGAGGTGAGTGATGATGGTTATTAGTGTCGGTCAACAAAAGCCGTCAAAGGATGGATGATAGTGGTTGTCGGACGATGAATGATGATAGGCAAGTGATGAAAGTCATTGTTATTGATAGAAGCCAATGTTGGAAGTCAGGTGCCGGAAGATGATTGGAGGGAAGACTGCAAAATCATGAAAGGAGAAATATTTAGATATTTGAAATCCTAAAGATGGCCAGTTAGGTTTCAAACAACAGCCAAAACTTGAGAATTCTCTCTAGTGAATGTCCATGAAATATATAGGAGCATGGATTATTTATAGATTTATTAAAAGGTTATTCTGGTTATTTATAGATTTATTGAAAGGGTGTTCTGATTATTTCCTCCAAAAATGTGGACGTTTTATCATTTAAAAATAACCCCTCCTTGGCCATTTTATATTTTTTGGATATCTTAATACCTTAATGAACTCAAAATTGAGAGATCTTGAACTTGTGAGATATGTCTCATAGATATACTCATTTAACTATATGAGCATAGAATATTTAGAAGACGTTTAACCCTTCAAATAACATTAAGAAGTTTTTAATTATACTTTCAATTCTTATATATATATACTTTCAAGTGTTTTGATTTAAGTCAATTTGTACTTCGATCTGGATGTTCTTGGCTTGATTTGTCTTGTCAAACTACATTCTCTCAACTATACCTCTTAAAAATAATGGCTGAATAATCACAAAATCAATTCTTGAAAACGGAGTTCTGATAATCTCAGAATCAGTTTTTGAAGTTTTTAGCATAAATACTTGGGTTCCTTAAATATTTTAAATTTGCTAAAAATCCGAGCTTCATCAGGTGAATTTTCTTGTGGTGTTTTTTTTTAAAAAAGGAGAATCCTAGAGTTAAACAGCGAGGGAAAGATCTAGACACATGGAATCTGTGTACAGTGTCGATTGCGTACTGTTAGTGAGTTCTGGACATTGTGCTCCGATTTTATTTGAGGCTTTTATAAGTAATATCCTAGTTAAGCTTTAATAGCAAAACTATTGCGCAATGAACATTATGACTGTAATGATTGAAATTTCTTAGTCTTCTGCTCATTACAGGTAAATTTGTTGCTGATGCCTGTTTTCAGATTAATTTAACACCTTTAGAAGAATCTAATTTACCTATAGCTAGTTTTCTAAAAATATGTGCAACCTTTTAGGTATAATATTGTTAGTGATGATACTGTTAGACTTAAGTTATTTCTATTTTCACTTAGGAATAAAATTAAAATGTGGTTAAATTCATTATAAGAAGTAATCATTGTTCAATTCAAATAATTTGCTGGTATTTTATAAAACGTGAATGTAACATTTTATGATTGGCTGATTTATACCTTTATTATTTATTTGGCCGTTAGTCCAAGGAAAGTTATGAAGATATTGTTGAATTCATTAGTTATTTCTGTAAGACTGATGCTAAGTAGTCAGTGTGTTATAGTGATCATTGCTTTGCTTCTTTTAACTGTTTTCTTGTGAAGCTTGTCAGGATGGATGTTAAAAATTTTGAATTATCTTTTCGAGGGGCACCTTTAAATTCTAACTAACTTATTCTGTCTTTGCAGATTTGATAAAGAAAATAAGAAGGGCGTATTGAATGGTTATTTTTTTTGGTTATCATTTGGCTATGCTTTTGGTGGGTATTATTTAGTAGCGATTTTCTTAATTCTTTTTTTTTTTTTTAAATTTTCATTAACTTTTATTTGCATATCTATTTTTCTTTTGACATCATGTCTAGAATGTTTAGCAGTGTTTAGGATTTAGTTGTAAATTTTAATTATATTTATTCTATTAGCTTTCTGTCAAATTTACTGAGATCTCAAACTCTAATAGAAGTTTGACAATTTTTGTGAGTCAGCAATCTTTTTTCTTATTGCATCAAATTAGTTAAATGCTTATCTCCTTTTTTATGTACATTTTGTTTAACCAGGCAATGAAATGAGTCAAAGTTCGCACAATCAGAAATGCTCAAAATGCAGAGCCGTTGAGGGCCAATCTATTTGATTGGTCCAAAAGCTTCGTAGAGAGCAAGGGCTTAACAGCTCACAAAACTTAAACAAAAAATGCCACCCCAATGTCAAGAATGAACTCTTTTGTCTAATGATGAGCATAATTATGGCAAATTATAATTAGAGAATACCTCATTGTCTAAGATCTAGCCCCCTAAAAAATAAGTACAAAAAGGTTAGATAATATGGCCATTTGTCACTCTCAGAGGGGCCATCCATCTATCCTATGCATCAATTTACTCAGGATGACAAATTTAAATCTAATTATGGCAAATATAATTAGAGAGTACCTCATTGTCTAAGATCTAGCCCCCTATAAAAAAAATAAATACCAAAAAGTTAGATAACATGGTCATTTCTCTCTCAGAGGAGCCATCCATCTATCCTATGCATCAATTTGCTAAGGATGACAAATTTAAATCCAATCAACGTTCATAGATAGTTATTGTTATCAAGTGTATCAATAAAATCTTATGCTAGAAGGATGTCACATTGTTCTCAAGACCATGTGGTGTACCTGATTGTGATTGCAACACAAGTCTAGATGTTTACTAATGGCTAAACTATCAATTGTGAGTCATAAGATGTACTTGATAAGGCATGAAGCTCTTTTTTAGTCAAAATAAACTTAAAATTAGCCCCTTAAACAAGCTTCCCCCAGCTTTACAAGATTCCTTTTACGATGTAACTTTCAATTGTGGATAAAGATCCTTTGATTGTGTTGGTTCAACTACCTGAGTTGAATAGGTTATTACTAGGGTCTTTGACAACATAGGACATTATAATCCGGTTTTCATTTTTTCATCTATAATTCACTTTGTCCCAATAGTCATATACCTTTTTATTCTGATATCCAAATTTTTTCTAGTAAAGTAAATCACCATATATCCTAGAGAATAGCCCTAATAGAAAGTGCTCCTTCATAATGAAGTAGGGTAATTATGTCACACCCCATAACACCCCCACCAACAACATAGGGTGCAACAGAGGACAAATGTGGGCTCCGAAAATTCGGCCCCGGCCTCCCCTCTCTCTCTCTCTCTCTCTCTCTCTCTCTCTCTCTCTCTCTCTCTCTCTCTCTCTCTGCGGGCTGAAGAAGCAGGGGAGTCGGCGTGGAAGGAGCTCCGGGAGCAGAGAAGCAGCGACGAGATCGGGAGGGGGTCGTGCGAGAGGAGTTCGGGAGCAGAGGAGCGTCGTGGGAGGAAGCGAACGGGAGAAGAGGCTTCGGCTCCTATTTAACAACGCAAAGAGGAGCGAAATCGAGGTAGGTTACGGGATTTCTGCAGGATTTCCGATCGAGACATCGAACGGCGCCGAGCTACAGGTATTTTGCGAGATTTCTTGTGGGATTTCAGGATTACGTGGATTTTTGTTTTGATTTCTTTTTCTCATTTTTTTTTGTTGTTGTTCATTATCTGATGGTCAACAACAAAATTTCTGAATATTTAAAGCTTATAACCATCAAAAGATGCATATCACAATTTACCACCTTATTCTATAAAATAGAAACATTTAAAATATTCCTTTTATATGTATATAATTACAGAGCAACTAATAATCCAAAATATTTTTATAACAACAATTCACATACCTTTTCTTAGGACTCAACTCATACAACTATACAACAAAGCACAGTTTTGAATTGACCTGAGTCTACTTGGTATCCACCTCATCCAATAGCCAGAATAAAAATCAGATGAGCTATGAGGCTCAAAAAGATTTACAATTCTAATAAAAAATACAATAAAACAATATAATGAATAATATGAATGTATTCATAATTGAATTAAACTCATCAGTTATTTTTAAAATAATTTAAAATATATGCATGTTCAGATGAACTAGTAATAATAGCATGTTTGCTACAATATCATAGGTAGACTCGTATCATGTCCCTTAATGATTAAAACATCAAACTTTGCATTTATTTATTGCTTATGCTACTGTTCATCTTTCATTTTATTTAAAGGTGTGTGTGTGTGATACATTCACAAACAATACATGAAGATATAATAACCCCTCTACGAGGTTAAATAGCAAGCACATGTATCAAATAACCAATGAGCCATAATGCACATATTGGATATTTAATGAAGGTGGAGACTATGTAGAATGCACAATGAAGGTGTTAATCCGTGAAGAAAGACTCACAAGTATTGCAAACCTATGAAAGGGGCTACTAATGAAGATGTAGATGAATATAATGGATCATCAATCAACTTGAATGCAGGCAGTAACAGGGGACAAAGATCTATAATAAATATATGGGCATCTACAAATAAACGTAGAGGACCTTTCATGTATACAGTAGTCCACTTATGAATGACAACGAGCAAAATACAAAAGAGCTTCAACAAGTGCAAGCTCCTACAATCCAAACAGGAGATTCATTAGTGCACTATGATCCAATTACAGAAAGCAAACAAGTAGTGCACAACAGTCTACCTGTATAAAGCAACGAACAATTCAATTTAGAAGCTGCTACGCTACGCCACCGAATTCGCAATGTTTATACAAGCAGACAGAAGATATTTACAAATATTTTGAAGTACCCCCGCACATGCACTGTAGTTTGTATACACATAGGTACACAAGGGGTAAGTATAATTACAAACACCCGCATGGGCCCCGACGAGCATGTTGTAGGAATACATGTGACGTCTAGGGATGTTGCGTGGGTCATCAAGCTCGAACCCGATCCTCCTAAGCAAATAAATAGGAGTCGACAAGGTTCAACAAATAATTATAAAATGCCCCCAAACATTGCATGGGCCCCGACGAGCGTGTTATTGGTACACACGTGACGTCTAGGGATGCTGCGCGGGTTGATAAGTGAACTCAAGTTCGAACCCGATCCTTCTATGCAGATCAATAGGAGTCGACAGGGTTTGAACAATCAAACAAATAAATGGTGGTGGCGATCGGTATATTTGTCTTAATACGATCATATTAGGCCTTCAAGGCCTATAACAATGAGAATTCACTAACAAAGGCATAAAGCCTATGAAACCTGATCCCCTATCGGCAAGTTAATATGATCGACAAGGTTTAGTCAATGAATGACCCCATATTTACCCCGATGATGGCCGTGTTGAATGCAGATCTCAACCGGAGGGGTTCACAAATGCTTTCAAATGCCTTCCGAGCTCCATCCAAATACCCACAAAAATTCAAAAATCCAAAAAAATTCAAAACTCAAAAATCCCAAAATTTCAAATCCAAATGTTTAAAATTGAAATCAAACAATTAAACATTTAAAGCAAAATCCATCCACCCTCCGCAATAGTTTGCCGAGATGGACAAATTAAAATTTACTTAAGCTCACATAGAGCTACCCCTAGATTTTCATTTTAACATTATATTATATCATATTTTTTAATATCAAGAATATACTACCTTATCAAATAAATATTAAACCATCAAATTTCCAAGATAATCCATTGAAATTGAGACAACACTAACACAAAAGGCCGAATGATAAGGCGCACAAACAATCTTTTGTTTGGGACGAGTTTCTTATTTACTTCTTAAATAGTTTTTTAGTACAAAAACTTAAAATTTATACTATAAAGCTGCTTTAAGAAGCGAGTAAGGAAAACCGTCCCAAACGAAACCTAAGATATTGGTATCAAGATTTGAGTTTTCATCATGGTACAACTCTCTTACAAGCCCGATGGGCATATTAAAAGCTAAACCCCTTTGTCATCTTCAACTTTCCCCTTATTATCCCATTTTTGGAGATTGCCACTTAAATTCAGAATAACCATTTATTGTTAATGAACAGTGAAGGGCGCAACACAATGATCTACATTCAATATTCTAAGGGAATATTACATAATATCATCACGAAAAAATAAGAAACTACAGAATAATAACTACAAAAAAAAAAAGTCCAACTTTAAAATTAGGAATCTCATATTATTCCAGTAAACAGACAACAGTTCTTTGTTACTTCTGGCAAAAGAGATTTGCCTTCTGACAACTAAAAAGAGAAGAGAGTTTAAGAATATCATCAATCCCCTTCACTGTTGTCTATTTACATGGAATATTTTCATTGGACTTGAAATTGTACCATTTTTATGAGATTGAAAAGCCATACTTGTCAGGCTTCTGCTGCTTGAAAGCATCACTTGAATTGGATTCTTCATGTTCCCAGGAAGCCTTAGTCTCCCTTATCAAGCCAAGGAATGATTATCAGGCCTGTTGATTAAAGCATTAAATAGAGGACAAGTTGGATTAAAACAACATTAAATACGATAACATTCAGGGGGCTGTTTGATAGCATCTCATAGATTTGATTTAGAGTAGGATTTCATAAATTTCTTTCCTGAAATCCGGATTTCGGATAATCCTGAGGGGCTTAAATCCTGAAAATTGTTTGATAAATTCATTTGATAAATCTCTTAAAAATCTCATGTGATGTGTTTGACTATAGAGGCAGGATTTACCGAGCGGAATTCTTCCGTCATGCGTCATAGATTTCGTAAATCCGGCAAAATACAGGATTTCGAAAAATCTGAGGATTATAGAAGCGAATGGCTGGAATTTTCCGTCTACAACGGATTTCGTTTTCCGATGAGATCTTTGGTTTTGCATTTAAGGGCCTGTTTGGCTGGAAGTTAGCTCA